GAGGAGAATAATGTAAGGAGTTGTTTTCTCTGATCTTTTTAGCCATTGGATATCTTCTGAAATCCTATTTTTCAGGATCCTGTATGTCCAAATCCTGTCTGTCTCAGCTCTAATTCAGGCAATTATTCTGCATTAACACTTTTCAAAACAAACAGAAGTTAAAAGCAGGGGAATCAAAATTTCTGCACCGCATGTTAATCCAGGGGGAACATTATCACATTGTCATGGATTTTATACATGGGATTTAAAGCGTAGGGAGCAAGAGAACCAAATGTGTAAAGTTATTTGGGATATTAGGCAAAAATATTTCACAGAAGAATTATCTGCAGTGCTGTTACATTACCAGCCAAGGATTATTGCTTTTGGCATTTCTGTCAGTGTGCCATTTGCTATCTAGACAATGGTCCCTTGTTAGCAGCAAGAGATGGCACAGAAGAAACAGCTACTTGAATTGAAAAGAAGTGGCTCTTCAGTGAAGCTGATTATGAACGCTTGTGATTGTTTCTGCTTGCAGTAGATATGCTGAACTGGCTTTTCACGTTCTGCTGCATTAGGTAAAAGATCTTGGAGAAAAATAAATGCAGTATTACAGTATACCCAGGGTGAGCCATAGAGCAGTGCATATTCACTAACACAGTAATGACAGCCTTCCAAGAAAGTAAATGCTGAACGACTTGTCTGACATCAACACTTCTCTGTTTTCCATAAGAACATCAATAGTCAGGGTTCTTTTCAATGTGCTACTGATGCAGGGTGAGATTTTCTGAGGTGCTGAGCAACCACTTCTTCTCCCTCTTCCCACCTCCTCCTCAGCATCAGTGATTGCTGTTAGCACTTCATGATTCTGGAATTAAAAACCTGCTATTTTCTCAAGAAGAAGGATATTGTGCTTAAAATGTATTTTCTTGGTGCATTTTATTACTAAAATCACCTTTAATGCCTGAAAGTGGGTCATGACAGGGACACAGGGGCTGTGCTGCTTCATGGGCAGCTGTGGAAAGTCTGTGAGAAATGGTGCTAAGTGGTAGCTGAACTCATCATGGGATTATCTCTTTCCTCCACCTCCTTTCCAAAGTGCAAAGAGTGTTCATAAGAAAAACCGTGTAAGAAAGGTGAGAAATCTCTTCTTGTTCCCACACAAAGGAATTTATTGGCAAAGGTATCAAGTATTGAAGAGACAGAGAAACGAACTGCCCTGATTGTGACGTCCTGTTAGTTTGCAGTTAACAGACAAACCAACCAAGTTCAATCATGAAACGTTACCTGCCTGTTTTTCCACTCAGTGCAGTAATTTCTTTAGGCTCTCATTATTCAACAAAACACAGGTTGGTGGGTGCCTGCAGCTGAGTTATTCACCCACTCCAAAGAGGAGAAAGGGAAGGAAGGCAGAGCTGGAAAAACAGGGCTGGAAAGTACACCGGAGACATGGAACAGCTTGATATCACTGTACAGGTGCTAATTTGTTAACACAGGGGGAAAAGAGAAGAGAAAAAGGAAGGAGAAAAGAGAGAGAAGTAGAAGAAGAAGGGAAGGAGAAAGGAGAGGAGGGGAGAGGAGAGGAGGGGAGAGGAGAGGAGAGGAGAGGAGAGGA